AAAAAAAAAAAAAAAACAGCAAGTCGAACAACTAAATATGAAATGGTTCCTCCCCTAGGGGGTAAACCCCGTGCCACATTTATATCCCCATAGCCAGTAAGAGAAAGGAAAGCAACAATGGCTCAACCAATTAAGAGCGAAGGAAATATTAATCCTTTCAAAAAAAGGGACGTGAAAAGGGGAGAATCATTTTTTTTCATTTTTTAAAATTCTTTCTGTTCATCGGCCATTTTGATGAGTTCATGACAATGTGTGTATGCATGCGACTTCTATGGACACTTAAACTGAGTTAACTAACCCAGGGCGAGATAAAGAAAAAGAAGACACACGAGTTACAGAAGTGTATTTATTTGCTGAACGCTACGTTGTTGTTGAGGCTTTCACATAAAGGCGTCTCCACAAAGTGGACATGCATCGCTATTTTTTAGAAATTTTTCTCTAGTTCCAAATGCATCCTATATGAATAACGGTAACATAAGAAATGGCTTTCTTTACGTCAAGGGACCATCCGTCTTTCTTCGCAAAATATTATGCGGCCTATCTTTATTGTCACACCTGTATAGAAGTAAACATAAGGCATATTGGGAATCATGTGTTCGGCATTACGGGAGGGACAACATTACCAATGCACTGAAGCTACATCTCTGGCACGTGTTGTAAGGATGCTCCTTTCCCCCTCACCTGTTTAGAGCGACACTCTTTTATTCGGCAGGAACGTCACAGACATCTGATTAAATCGTAGTAGCAAAAATGCTAACTCGAATAGCAGCATCATAATGAAAAAAGAAGAAAAAAAAGAATCTGAAGGCTTATTAATTTTTCTTGTATACATCATAATCCTATGTGGCTAAGATGTCGCAACTATGGCCACAGACAGATGGTGACTCAATTTAAAGTGTCTCCCTTTGCAGAGAATACAGTGCTTACACCCAATTAATCCTACAGCCACAGATTATTTATTAACCCTCCTTTAGCAGTCATTATGCATATAAATATGTATACGTGTTTTTTCTTTTATTCTACTACCTCTTCGAGGTTATACCAATTTGGAATCCTTTCACTTCTCCCCACAGGGGGAAGAGAATGATGAGGATAAACATGAGGAAAGGCATGGACACATACCAGCATGAGAGCATAAAGGCATTAGAACAGAAGGAAATCCGCAAATTTCCTCGTCCGAATGACAAATCCCATCTGTGTTTACCAGCCGAGTGAAATATGCGCCCCTCTCAGAGTTCCAGGAGAAAATAAGGTCGCAATAAACTGGGCATTTAAAAGGATAACATGTGAGGATGAGTTAATCAATGCATAATTAAAGATAACTCCACATTTTAACACACCCCTTCCAGTATGTTAATCAAAGAAATACATTTTCATTTACATGAGGAGGCCCCTGATTTGTTAAACCCTTGTGTTCATTTTATCCCCGTTTTATTACTAAAACAGAAATGTGATTATGGATGATGGCCACACTCATATGCTAGAAGTGTAAGGACTTAGCAATCCCCAGCCGTTACACAAAGCTTTATTCGCAGCAGTATACTGAAAATTCATGTATACTTATATGCACATTTTGGCCCCTCTTTTCTTTTTCTTGTTTCGTGGCCCACGGGGGTACACAAGTGTCTTCACAAAGGAATCAGAACTTTGGGCTCTTCTCTCGCAATTAACACTATTTGTGAGTGGAGGACGTGAAAAAATCCCGAAAAATGATGCTTATCTTCATTGGGTCAGATATCACCGAAATTGGAAACATTTCACCACATGTGTTATAATGCCCTCTTCAAGGGAAATTAGCATTATTATTTCATTTGAACAGCACTCCGGATACATAGAAATGAAAAGGCAGTCACAGGGAGGAGTTTTCGCTGGTGACGCACTACGTAGATCACAACAACCGCTCATAGTCATGAGCGCAGGCGTAGCCACGTCCCCAGTCAATACCTAAGCTAAAGGGAGATTTATCTTTGACGCCCTTCAATCACTTTTTATGCTAGCAAGAAATGCTACGGTTAAAAATAAAATAAAATAATTGCCCTTCTGCGCATTTTTTATAGCACGGGATTTATATCTAATTACAACTCGCCAATTGTATAGCATGCAATACAGTCGCGCTAAAAGGGACCTCTCATTTTTTTCCAAAACGAGACTAAATTGTAGATGCCTGAATTAGAAAGCGCGTTATCAAGGAGAAGGAATTTTTGTCTTTTCTAATTCTCTATACTTAACACGTGTGTAGGATGTAAGCCCTTTAGAGTCATCTGACTCAACTGTGTATGATAAATTTGAATGCCTCATTTTGAAGTTAACAGACTGGGTCAAGAGAAGAAATTCATCTTTATCTTCAACTTAAATAATACACTAATTATGGGGCTACACCGAGTTTTTCGACATCCCCTAATTTGGGTGTAAATCCATCTCCACTTTGCATTACCTCTTTTGCTACACCTCCTTCAAAGAATAAACTCATTTGTCATACTGTATATAATAATAAAGGGAAAGATGTTTGCATAATTTCATCAATCTACCTCTGCAATTTCGTATTTAAATTTTTCATCTTATTGTTTTTTCGTTACCCCCCAGGGGTCGTAATTTGCACCCTTTGAAACCCTCAGTTCTCCTTTCCCATAATGAGGAGTTCCTCTATGTTTCCTTCTCCTGCGCTACCTGTCATGTCTGCCTTCAAGTTTCTCCATGGAGCACCAGCTCCTTGTATGCGTTAATAAGGGCAGAAGTATTGATTTATGCTCACGTTACCACACCACAACGTTTATTACCTAGGTGTAACGTTAAAGTGATAATCTGAGCGCCTGTTTACTAAGTTGTGCTCCTCTTAGACGCTTCATAATAAAGAGTAGTCGGTTTCATATATATATGCCCCTAATTGTACGCGGAATTGCTACCGCGAGGTTAATTTCTCAGAAGAAATTAAAGCAATATGAATGCCACCAGGGGGTTACGCACATCTTCACATAAACTAGGGGAACAGAAGGGGGAAAGAGATTTCCAACATCCTGCTTGTACTAACTGTCTGAAGATCACTCTTTTAGTCTTCCCTTTGCTTCCCCCTCTGGTAAGTACGAATTCTTACATATGTATGTTTACTTCCGTCCCTGCCAATTAGTGCAAACTTGCTGCACATTCTATCTACGCCTATCACTCCGTGCGATGGCACTAACCACCTTTAGGGCAATATCTTCGCCTGCTTTTTCACTATATTCTACCATATAACTCCCTTATCAGTCGGGTACTCCCCCAATAAAGGTTCAAAAGTAACAGAAGCAGCTAAGCTCAGAAGTCACGACTCACGCTATGGGAGTAGACCAAATTTAAGCGCGTCCATCGCAAGCTTAAAAAGGTGCTTCACAAAGGATAGCAGCGCAGAAGAGACCCCAAAGGAAGTCAAGGAAAAAACTGGAGATAAGGGACGAAATGTTATTCGAGAAAATTGCAGCACGCTTAAAGGAAAATCTGAAAAAATATATATGGAACAACATGGATGCATAAAGATGAGGTATGACCCAGGAATAGATGATCCAATTGTATTGCCAATTACACGATTATCTGAGAGGAAAATTTCAAATTATGCTTCATGAACTGTGGGTTTGAACTCTGTCATTTCCGAAAGAGAAGAAATTAAGAGAGGAATCTAGATCCAAATACTCGTAGCAGTCTATAGTGACATCCTGATTAACAATTTGATGAAAATACCTCGGAACGATTTAGTCCACTTTTTCAACTATCTAAAGGAAGAATATAATTCTATTCATTAATTTAAGAAATATATGGTGAATAAAAGAAAGAGCTACCAAAACTTCACATCGGAGAGGAAACTAATGTGAGAGCCTATCTTTGGCAATCAGTTGAAAAAGAACTGACCGCGAGGAGTGTGCATAATCATTATAGCTCTGAAGAAGGGGGAACCCCAAAGAGGACGGTCTGATTAAATGAAATCGAAGGGTTGGGAGAACAACACAGTTTGCAGACAGGGTGAGCTCCCTCATTAGGGGTGGTGCAACACTCCTGACATCCGATTCATCTTTGCCGCTGTGCTATATTTGCCATCTTCCTAACTGGCAATTCACTTTTCTGAGAAATTGCTCTTTTCTGGATAATTAAAATCTAATGAATACTCGGTGCCCCCTAACGATGCCTCCCCGTTTTGACACCTCGTTTACTGCTAGTTTGTCTTGTGCCCCAAATCGACTTCTTTTGTGATTTTTATACGCCATCGCTTTCTGCTAATTTCTCCGCCTCTTTGTTCACTTTGGATCATTTTCCGTTTCCTTCGGGATAATTCCACTGCCCATATTGCTTCAATTAACATTTAACTCCCATGCTGAATCCGCACGAAGCACATTTTAATGTTCTGTCCTTTTTTAACGTGGAAATAGTGCATTCATACACTCCTGAAACTTCTACTGACCATTGTGCACTTTACATGACTGTAAAGTTATGGATGAGCCTTTAATGAACTTCGAGAGACATTTGTCGTTTTTTCGTTCAAAATATGTTGCTTTATGCTGAAGCGCGAAAAGACGGGGACATTTTCCGCTGGAACTTTAGTAGCCGAAGGTGATATAACATGACGCTTGGAGGAATTGAGACATTTAAGGTAACACATAGCAGATGGAAGTCAGGTAATACCTCCAAGGCGCGGTGGATGTCAAAGTGCACAAAATGGAGAATGTTAAATGAGGGCCTCCACCAAACAGTTGACATCTCCAACTGCAAGTAAGGACGCATTATGTGCAACTTCTCTTGTAATTCAGATTTCTAACCAGACTGTTTTAAAAAATTAACAAAAATAAAATGAAGAAAAATACCGCTTCTATGGACTACAATTCCTGAGCCCTTTTCAAAAATCCCTCTTTTTCATTTGCCAAATGAGGATGCTCGAAGAATTAGAAAAATTAGTAGAAAAATGAATCCCCAATCACACACACAAGCTTTCGCGCAAGGTAACCTAAATGATTTGCAAAAAAAACGCGGCGTCAGAAAATATTTGGCAAATAAAAAACGGTTCAGTTCATCTACTTCATTTTGTTTTTTCACTCAGAATAGTCTGTTTGCACGCCGCGCTTGTGGGAATCTATTGTAGAAATTTATGTAATGAACACCCCCTTGAGATAATGCAATACGCAAAGAGAGAAAAAAAAAATCATAATAACTTGACTACACCAGAACTGTCTGTACACACTTATGTGCCAATGAGAAGGAAGTACGTTCTGCTCAGCGGACAATTTTTCCCCCCCTCCTAGTGTAATAAAATACATTCCAAAAAATAGGTATCCATATTCTGCAAGCACAAATTATGCGGCTTATTTTGGGGAGATATTTATACGAAGCCTGGGTACATGAAAGGGACAAAAGTACGTGTGGAGCTCTCAGAAAAAAAGAAAGGAAGACATTTTCATTTTCCCCTCTTTCAAAAATACATTCCTCATCTGAACATGAAAACGTGTCTACTGTTTTTGCGCATAACGCAGCAGTAGTTAGAACGTGTGGTATCAAAAGAATGACCCTTGCAGAATTCTCCACCCTGTGCGCTCTTCGCCAAAAATATTGCGTATTCTCCCAAATCGTAGGCATAAAGGGAAAACCTGCTGCACAAGTAACCGCGAATAGACAAGTTTACTCTTCCAGCCTTCTGCTTTCCCCACACAAAATTAAGGTGCTCGTAGACTTCTAACAAAGATGAAGGCAGAAAAAACCGTATGAACGTAGCTACGCCGACCCTGTAATGAGTGCAGTTAAAACTTGAACATCTCTAGAGAAGACGAAACGCCTCCTCACCACGCATCACACAAGAACAGCGCTATTTGCTTCGCACAGGGAGCGCAGACGAATGCTTTTAATCTAAGTAGTTGAATGAAATAGTAGAGGCCTTTATAATCTGCTCAAAAGGACTGAATTTCAGCACGCCTCTACTAAGAAATCAATAAAAAGTTGTTTTAGAAAAAAAAAGAAAATCACTGCACAAAAATTTTCTATGATTCTACTCTCACAAAATAATTACGAATTTACTATGCAACATGTAAACATTAAACATGAAATTTCTGTAATGCATTTATATATAAGTGTAAACAATTATATATATACATAGGTGAAGGATATTTTTTCTATTCTTCTTTTTAATTTTAAAAATATATATATATATTTAGAAGTAAAAGCTAAGATGAAATATTAGAATGAAGAAATGTTCGCAAAATATCAACCAAAAAAAAAAAGCAAAAAAAAGGGAAAGAAAAAAAAGAGAATAAAAAAGGGAAAAGAAAAAGGCAAAAAAAAAATAACTAAAAACAAAAAAAAAGAACAAAGAGAACAAAAAGAACAAAAAGAAGCCAAGTAAGAAAAGAAAGAAATAAAGGGAACACTACCAAAATCAGTAATATATATATGTATGAACGACTCATACATAGTTATTTAGGAGAGTGTATCACATTCCTGTCAAAAAGAATGAGGACGCTCCCCTTACCCGTTTTGTACACCGTGCTGTTCTGTTGGATGAATATATAAGGACGCAGAATAAGGCAGGATAATCTGGACATATCGCAATTTACAGATCCCAGGACAGAGGGGAGCAACTTCTTATTGAACAAAGTAAGGATTTAAAGAAATATAACTGAACGCGGAGAATGTCATTTTTCCTGCACATCGCCAGACACCATCGGACACCAAGGGTCTCATAATGAAAATAGAAGCAAGAGTTTTCCCTGTGTTTACACACATTTCCATATGAGGCAGCGGTTATAATAATATATCCATTCTGCCAGAATCAAGGAGACATCTTCATTATGACAGTGTCCCTCTATCTCCTACGTCATATTATCATCTATCCTTAGAGTAAGAGAGGCCCCCTATAAAGGCACCATATTCCTGAATGTATCCTGTCTCTGTCAAATTTGATGAATCGAATTCTTCAGACATGGAATTGAGAACTCTTTCTTTTTCCATTTCGACTGTAGAAATAATGTTTACGATTGATACAGTAATTTGGGGACTACTTGTTCTTTTATTGCAACAGGATAAATCCGTAGGAGATGCCATAAGTGCCATTTATGTTTGTAAAAGAAGGATACTTGTGCTTATAATCACGACATCGTCGCAGACTTATCGGTTATGCAGTATTTTAGAATCTCCAATCTCTTGCTGCTGTGCATTTGAATATATGTCTCTTTCGCCTCTTATTATTTTCAACTTTTTATTTTTTTCTTCAGGGTATCCAATCAGAATATGAATTCTTGTGCGACGGTTTCTGCAGAAGTGTCCGGTTTCAATTAGGCGTGTTCATTAATTGTAATGTTATATGGTCCTGTATAGTATAGTGCGCCCAAAAGGATAAAAAGTCGAATATTTCATGGTTATAAGTAAATAAAAGAACTAAGCCGTAACGTATTTCCTCCTCCTGTAAAAGTGTTTTTACTTTTAGTGATAACGACTATTTCATAGGACAAATAAGTTGAGTATCCTTAAGCACGCTGTAAGAGGATGAGTACAAATATTGAATTCTGCATTTCCCATCTTGACATTTCCTCCGCGCTTCATTCTGCGAAGAAATCACCCGTGGGGCTGTGGGGAGGAATTGTGCATATAATTGCGGATGAAATACTTTTCCCAACTCAGATTTTTATCAGATACTCAGTCAGATTAGGTCTGTTTCCTCTTTTATGTGTGCTCTATGGCAACTGCGAACAGCACTGTAGTTTATTATCTTGTGAATTGGTCACATATTTCAGCTATATACCCTCCGTATCTCTGGAGGCACATAACCTCTTCCTTTCCCAGGTGGTAGCCTGTGGCATGGATGATGCATCCTGTATTTATGAAACTCGTATCAGGTCCTGCTGATCTATTTCATTGGTATGAGCATCCTTCCTATGCAGCATGTATCAGTGTTATATTTCGCCTTAGAGCCTGTGATTTTCCACCATGCCACTATCATTGTAATCACTGTTCCCGTATAAATGGTTGTACTCTGTTCCTTATATCAGGTTTTTAGACGTCTGTGCTCTATACTCCGGAGTCCTTTTCTGCTGTTCTGTTAGTTGAAAACAATTCTGTCTATACCTTTTATGTATCGGTCCTCCTCTATATTTCGGGAGTCAGAGGAGTTCCCTAGGTGGCTATTCAAATACTACTCTACGACTTCTGAATATTATGCCTCTTCCCATTAATCCCGAAGCATGATCACTACGCGTATCGCCATTTCTTTTATTAGTGTTCTTTTTGTAAGTGCACACCACTTGTGGTTATATACCTCTGGAGGTGTCTCTTGACATTTCTGGGCGGATGTGTTACTTATTGCTTTAGGCATTACATGATTGGGCACCAGCCCCATGTACCGTCTGATAAATGGGTCAAGACAACTACTTCGAGTGTACGGTTCCTTACGTATGTGTTTCTCTGAAATCCACCTGTGGCATTAACTTCCGTTTGTGTGTAAGAAGGGACTATTTGTCTTCTTGTGTGATTTTTCCCGTGCCAGACACTATCTTAGCTTGGGGATATTGTCCTCTTCCTGGTTTCTCTTATAGCCCATAGATTTATTTCTTCCTTCAGAATCTATCAGAGATGTATTGGTTTGTACGCTGCGGAATATTCAACAGATGTTCCTGTCTATAGAGATGACGGTAACTGTGTACATCCCTCTTTATTAGGCCCTTCGGTTAGGTAATTTCATGTGTTAGACTTTCATTTCTCATGGGTTCATGGTCGTGTATTTTGAGAGAATATTATATCCTTAGTTCTTACTTCTCCTGTGTATACTGCCCCAGAAGTTGGGTACTTATATTTGCAACTATCTTCGGGACACATTGTTCCTTTTATTCCTGATCTATAAATTCTTTAAGGTGCCGCAATTTCGTATTAACTATTCATATTCCCGTTAGCACTATGGTAGGTCCCTAGTATCATATGATATATGCTCCGTTCTGTCCTTTGTCATAACGATACATTGCCGCAAGTATATGTATTTGCTCTGGTGCCCTCCCTTTCGCCTTTAGGGTTACATAGGGAGTCTTGGCACGTGTGTTGCCCTGGAGGGAAGAATTGGCACAGAACACGAGTTTTCCTTCCTGCAAAATTCTTTAAAAAGTGAGGAGTGTGTACTGAAAACCTTTTTTTTTCTTCGCATATATTTACATATATTCGCACTTTCATCAGAGACATTAAGAGAGTCAACAAAACCTTAACTGTCTCAATAATGGCTCAGACTATAATTAAGGGAATAATATAATACAGGTACTACTGCAGCGGCAACACAACCTGAGGAGGAGCTTGTTCAGATTCGTCGCACATTACAACTACATCTGGTTTCACCTCTTCATATGGGAGATAGATTCAGTATTCTATATTTTCTTCTTTCTTAGTGCACATAAACTTACATTCTCCCCCTGTCATAAGTTTTACCATACGATGCTATACTATTCATTTCTCTAAGAATTATTTATCCGCAATTCTATTTAACTAAATTTCGATTTTTTCGGCCGTTTCAATATATAATATGAGAAAATTACTTCTTCTGTGCTCATTCTCTTCTTTTGCCATTGGATGAAATTCAAATGCGGATGAATCAAATGACATAGACGCTTCAGACAGTATAGAATATACTCGCCTCGTAAAATACGGAAGCGTCTCAAATATAAAGAAACAACTAATATGCCGATTATTGTGGAGACGGACATTTCTTACAATCGAAGCTTCTACACTTCTGTACACATTTTCGCAATCCTAAGGACATAAAACAGGAATGGACATGCCAAAAGAATCTACTCCTATATAGTCCGTATATTTCCTAGATTAAAGACGGCACGCCATGATTCCAGTGATGTACTGATATAACACTTAAATGTTATATTCCATACATTAACATTCTCTACTATTTTAAGTATTTCACATGCTGAATTCATGGTAAAGATCTTATCCATAGTTTTATCATCTTATTATTCTATATATTTAAATATTTCCTCTAACCCTCAACCCAGAAGACAACATCTTAGTGAATATGAATATCGTCCTTTACTTCAATTTATACCTACATGAGAGTCCAGTATAGAAGGTAAGTCTTATCGTCCCCGTGAGATTCTGTTCCTATGGTGTGATTGCATCTTATGAGAAGTCCATGAACAGTAGGAGTTGGTGTTGTTGTATTAAGGAAAAGATGAATGACTTGAACATTTGACCTAATAAGTCGTGTTTTAGCATGGAGTTCGTTTTATTATATAATCTTTTTCCCCTCTTTCATCGTTACACAATTTCTGTGGAATAGCCGTTTTGAAACTGCGCCTTCCCCCCCTAGTGCATCACTTAAAATTTGTGCAATTCTCCTCTTCATAAAAATTAAGAGGACGCTTAATGGAGCCCCGTCAGACATCAATTAAAACTACTAATTTATGTGAAATGTGAAATAAACCTCCTGATGGGCATAACAAGTGGATTGTTTTTCTTATAGAAGAAGGGTTATCTATACATTGTACAATCCACCTTGCAAGAGCCCTTTAAATCTCTTACGCCTCGCAAAATAAGTTTCTGCCACAAATTTTGAACATTTAATGGGCAATCTCTTTTGGCATCGAAGTTGGTAGGAATACGGCACAGATGCAAGAAAAATCTCACTTTATCCACATTTTTGTCATAAGAAAGATTTCATTTTAATGTTTAGTTAATAACAGGTATAAAAAAATGGAGTCTTCTAAGAATCAATTTATTTATAAATAATAAAATATGCACATGTTCTAATGTATATGATATACAAATGCAATGTTAAGGCTTTATACATACGCTCACATATTTTCTAAGATATAAATGAGGGACGCATAGCTTCGTCTGTTTGTATTTCCATGATTCATCAACTCGGACGGCCATTGCACTTCACATATTATACTTAATTATTAGAAACAAAAAATTCTTTGAAGAATCCTTGTCTAACTCCTTATATATAGGCAGACTATTGTGTAGCACAAAAAACAACAGGACAATACAACAACAAAAAAAGCTGTATCTAATATGTATGGAGAATATACATATTCATATATAACGAGTTCTTAACGCTCCATACTGAGGAAACGAATATATTGATACAAAAAAAAAAAAAAAAATATGATGTATTCTGATAAGGTATCATATCGTATAGTATCATATGATGCAATATAACATAGCACCCCACCTTCCTAAGGGTAATCAAGTATGCCCCCTAAAACCCGAATTTGATAGAGGGTGACTTTTACATATGAAAAAAATTACTCTATATTAAATTACACACGTTATGTGATCTATGATATATTTCTCTTGCCTCCTTCTCCTTTTCCTTATTAAGATAATCATTGTCATGACTTCCCCATGGTCGTTCTGTCATGGTTAAATTGCTACATAACTTTGCGCCACCCTTTCAAATTTTTCATATAAGAATACTTTTATATAAACAATCAATGAAGACCACTAAAAAATAATGCTTCCAATGTACACATATACACTATTATTTCAAGACCACATAAATGAGCACTCTTGAAATAGGAATAAAGAAGCATTTATTTTTTCATGTGGTTCTGCTTCCTTTCATATTCTCTCTAATTGAGAAACTTCCTGTAAGGGTTTCGTAGAGTGAAGTGAATAAAATATGCCACGTTATAATTCCTGCTTTATTTTTTTCTTTTTTTCCTGTGGGATAACTGCCGCCTTTAAGAGAAATTGAAGAAGATGAAACGGGTGAAATATTAATTTCTTTTTTTCCGCCTCAAAGTGCCTGAAAATTCCACTGAATTTATGTCCTTGTGGCCAATATTGTTATTGCGATATATGAAATATTACAAGTATGTTGGCACTACCCTCTTCATTTTAACTTCCTTCAACCATCCAGTAGATGTTATCTAAAAAAAAAAAACCTATGCAACGAGCCTTCCTTATCTATCTTGCTTCATGTGATATGATACAAACTAAAATTTTCCATTGCATTGCACCTTTATAACCTAGCACGCAATGTCCCCAGAGGCCATTCTCTTAATTCACCGTAGGCCACCCAGCTGATAAATTCCTCGATAACACCAGAATCATTGCTATTTTCCTCCCATGTACAAATATTCCTTTGAAAGAAAAGAAGAACCACAGAACTTATATTTTTTATAGAATTTGATAAGCTCACAAGATACACAATATATTAAATTTATATTAAGTTCTTTCTTCCCGGGCACAGAGAAGCCTAACTTGGCGGCCAGTTCATAAAGAAGAATTGCATGTGTATCCCCTGCTGCCACTTCTACAAATAGTCTCCTCAACTCTATGAAAAATTCGCTGCGAACATGGAGGGTGACTTACTTAAACAAGAAGGAAACAAAAAAAAAAAAAAAGAAAAGAACAACCAAGTTAGAAATACTCTCTTCCATTGTATAAAATCGTCTCTGCGGTACAACTGCATAGCCTCTTAATATTAAATGGCTATCCCTCGGTGACCCCCCTGCCTTCGCAAGGGAAGGGGGACGCAAAACTGACCTCGCCCTCATCGTCCTGGGACTCATACAGAGGGGGGGTTTCTCCTTCTCCGGTGGAGGCACCCTCCACGGAAGAACCAACATCCACAGAGGAGTCTCTTTCCACAGAAATCTGTCTCCCGTACTCGTGAAAGCATTTGTGCTTCTTGCTGTACTTGTAGGTGATCACAACGTTTTCCGCTGGGTTACCTGTGTCGAGTGGGGCCCGTTCCGCCAGGTTGCCTCCGCTAATTAAACCGCCTTCACCATCTGTCTTTCCATTTGACATGCGCTCTGCATGGTCCTCCCGCGCTTTCACTTCGACGAGGGCGCTTAGGAGGGAGAGTATTTCATCCCATTCGCCCGACCCCTGGTTGTACACGTTAAGAAATATATCCAACTCCTCGACGGTGCTAACCCGTTCGAAGTTACGCTTGTTTCTAATAACGAGATAGTCCACCCTCGAGAGAATCGCATCGTCACAAATCTGTAGTTGTTTGCAACAGTGAAGCAGACGGCACAAGTGCTCATAATTGTAGGAGAGCACCTTAGGAATGTTCCCCGTGATGATGCCCATAATTTCTTCCATGTTGCTATCCACATACGGAAGGGAGGTGAAAAACTCAAGTATCGATATGTACTCTCCTGCGAGGGCCTTATGTTGAGTCCTTAGCTTGGACAGAAGAAACAGTAACAGCCGCTTGTACACGAAGTTGTAGTTAAAGTAGTTCAGCTCTCTGTAAGCGCACAGCAGTTTTATGAGTTGCTTCAATGAGAGGAAGGCAATGCAGGTGTTGACCCTGGAGAAAAGAAGCGGCACTAGTCGGTGTACAATGTTGCCCTGTCTATTGCTAGGACCGCTGCTGTTACCGTTGGTGTCTGTTTGGGGTTCCTCTCCACGGGTGTCTTCTACGAGATGGCAATACTCCTTCTGTTCCTCGTCCTCCCCACTCTGAGGAGCTTCTTTGCGGATTGCATTGGATCTCCCCCCCTCTGCAGTCATTTCCTCCTTTGTTTGTCCATACCAACTCCGCGACAGCCTCCGCAGGATGGGCCCAATCTGCACCAGCGTGTTGTACACCGAAATGGAGTCCATCGACTTGACATTTGCGCAGATGTATTTAACCAACCTGAGGAGCAGTTCATCATGATTGCCACCACTCTTCTCTGGTGTGTAGGCTGAAATGAGATGATTGATATGGTTACACTTAACCATGTCGAAGTTCTGCAAAATGTGATGGCATGCTGCATCGAGCAAATCCACATCATTTATCTTCAGTTTAGACAATGCATGTAGGATTTTGCAAATGCGCTTCATGTCGTAATGGTGGAAGTGCCTTTTGATTTCCTCCACGAAAAGCTGCATCAGTTCCAAGTCTGAGTAGTTCAGTTGGTTGCTGGCCAGGATGTACCTGTAAATGTTCTTGTGTCTTTCTGGGTCATAGGAGATCCCTCCTCCGCCGTTTTCATCGTACTCTTCACCGCCTCGTTCACTGTTTCTTTCACCACCGTTTTCTCTTTTCTTCCTCGACGCCTCTGCCTCCTCCCTGAGAAGGCGCAACGCCCGGTACGACAAAATGGAGTAAACCTCAAAGTTTCTCTCCTTGCTGAGAGCATACGCCTGCAGAGTCAGCACCACATCTGAGAATGTGAATCCCCTGCAGTGCCTCTTCACGAGATCATTGTACACATTAAACATGCGTTTGCTAATGAACCCATTCTTAACGCTTTTCTTGATTGCATGGCTCACGCTTTCTCCCTGCATGTTTCTCAGTTTCTCAGCGATTTGGCTCTCAGCATCTTCCTGCATCTTCGCGGAGTGCAACCCCCTGCAGGTCAGGCGGTAGCATCGATTTTGGCGGTTGTGGTAGTTCTTGCAGTTTTGGCCGTTGCCACTTCGCACTGTGTTGTGGACTATGCTGCCTACTGCTCTGCTGACTGCGCCACCCATGGGGCCGCTCCCCCACAGGCATCTGCCCAGGCGCTGTGCCAGCCGCATTTCGGCGCTCGAGGAAGAAGGGGGTGCTAATGAAGGAAAAAGGATGTGCAATGTACGCAAATGTGTACGTATGCAGGTATCTAAGTACGTATATAGATTATTTTTTCTTTTTTTTTTTTCTTTTTTCCGCCACTTTGTCGTGTTGCCATAGTTGGCACCCCCCCTTCTGCCCTTCAAGCACCCTAGCGACGTCGCAACGAAACAGACTGTCACGATTCGCTCTGCACTTGACAGGGAGGGTCCACTTCTTCTCGCAAGGCAGCACACAATGGTCCGAGCAAAATTTCCAGCACAACGTGTTAATCTCGTGCATACGCAATTTTATTATGGACTCTTTTTTTTTTTTAGCAGATGAACTCAGGGGGATCCCTTCCATGTGGGGGGGCGTCACCACTGCGGAGGCCTTGCTTTCTCCGCAGCGGGGAATAAAACAAACATGTCGGACAGAACGTTGAAGCAGAGCGGGGAAGCGGTAGCACAAAACTGATTCACCCGTACAACAAAATGGAGCACCTTCGGTTTTCTATTTCTTTTACAAATCGGGGAGCCCCCCCTCCTCTTTTTCCCGCGCCCAGATACGTACCCGCTCATCGGATGGGAAAAAACCTCCCTGTGCTCACGACATTGAGTAAAAGGACCAACGGGGTTGAACCCCTCCCAGGAAAATAATCTCCCTGGGATGCGAAACATGAAAGGAGAAGATGAACTGACCTGATGGGCTGATTGGCTCTCCCCCTCCTAATGCTGTAACACTGAAACGAGTCCGTGGTTCCGCTATGGGAAGGACTATGCTGACCCCCAAACCTTTTCATAATATGTTGCACCACGGCGGGGTATCGAAGAAGGCAACTTCTAACATAACAACACACCACTGCTTCCCCTCTTGAGTATACGTCCTGATTTTCATGCGAGAAACTGTGCAGATGATGAGGATGTAGCAATCTGCTCTTCCTTCAGGAGGGGGCAGCCCATCTGTCACACTTAACTCCACGGTAAGATGCATAGCGATCCGAATTGGCAGAAGAGAATATGCGTAGTTACCTTTACTCACAACTGTCTGAACACCATAAAAGAGAAAAGAAAAGAATAGCACTCTTTATCCGTAATCATCCTTGTTCCTCTGTCTCCTGAGGACTGTACCTTCTTATGATTTCCGCCTCTTCCATGGAAGGTAGCGACATTGGGCTTCTTTGTATCTTGTCATTTCCTTTGGACACTCCTCCGTGGTAAAAATGGATCACCCATTATAGCACTCCTTAACTGGTGTCACATACATTCACGCGATAATACATACAATTCTGAGGGCCCATATGTTGGTGAATCCCCCCTGTGTAGCAGCAGAGAGGCATAATTCTCCACTCCCCTTTCCTCCACACCACCAGTAGTGTAGAGAACAGCGCTTATCTGAGAATGGTCAAACCGAAGTGTTGCACATGTATCTTCTTGGCAGAGACCCAAACGGCTGTTTCCGAGTGGTCGTCGCTCTCATCCTTTTCCTGAGCTAGATCCATTGAATAGCCGCCCGCGGGGAAACCACAAAATGTACGTGGATTCTGAAATATATGGATCATATGGGAAAGCATATTTTTTCCGTTCCGCCACCCATGGGGATTCTCCCGGCGCAGTTCTACAAGGGCGACGCAGGAGTGGTTGGCGGATTACCTGCTTCGTGTAGAAAGTATATCAAAGCAAAACTGCTGGGGAAGTAAAAGAAAAAAATAATAATAACACCTGTGTTGGGGTCACGTACAATATAAAAATATCTGCGTCACGTCCGACAATGTAACACATTTTTCTCCTGCCATACTGCCACCTTGGGGGCCCCGTGACAGAGCGATACTCTCACGAGAAGCCGCTTTTTTTTTTTTTTTTTTTTTTTTTTTTTTTGAACGAGTCATATTTTTTTTTGTCAACTTGTCAGGTCATAAATTTTTTCTTTTTTCCTCCCTTTTTTTTTTTCCTTTTGGTATGCATATAATTCCTGCGTTTTACTTACGTATGGGTAGTATATATATGTTTTCCCTGATGAACTCGAAATTCTTTTTGATGGAATTTGATTTCTTTCTTCTTGTGAAGTTCGCTTTGTTTCGTAGTTAATGCTTTCGTTTGCCCTGCAGGTTCTGTACATATGCATGTACACGAGCGTGTGACGCGTAGAAGAAAAGCCATGGCAGTCGCGTGAGCGGATGGATATGCATACGTATGCACTGCTTACAACGCGTATGACCTCACACAGCGTCAGGCGAAGCATCCCACGTAGCAACCAAATGGCGGGGTGACACGTGATGGGAGGCAAAAGTCGCGCGCAGTGCAATGACAGGGCTGAGCGAGAGCAGGCGCCGCTGAAGCACGCATGCTTTCACGCACGGACGTTTATAAGGGCGCACGTCTGTACTCATGTATGCTGAGCGCGTCCGAATATGCGGAGCCTCCTCCACCCTGTCAACCAGCACATCCATCTTGTATGATTATTCCTGTGCTTCACAGGAATGACAACCGCTTTGTGCAGCAGGAGTTGCACCGCGAAAATAGACGTGAACAACAAAAATGTCAAAATATGATTTGTTCACCACCAACAGCCCACCCAACTGACCTTTAAGTTTACTGATGCGGTGGCGGCAACTTGTCAGGCGACAACTTGTCGAGTGGCACGTCCTTTTCTACACTTCACATTCTGCACTATGTAGTGCGGACCCTTGGCCTCACAAGTATATTCACCATTCGACAAGATTAACAACACAAAGGAAACATCATCTCAGATCCCACAGAATTTTATCGGCCCCCTTTTGGCCGCCCGCGCTTTCCCAGGCTGAAACGTACGAGTTGTTTAGACCCCCTCTGAAGCCAGCCGGCGAATTTTGCGAGGGGGTGAAGAAGAAAACATAAAGGAATGATAGGGGAGAATCCCACACCGGGGTAGCTGTTCACAGGTCAATTTTGGCCGTTCCTTCGCTTTACCATTAGGGACGTGTACGCATATAGTGAGCAGCACCTGTGCGTCTCTGTGCACCTGATTGTTGGCTACAGGGCGGTCTCCCCGGAGTATCACAGTTCGGTGCAATCGCGTGATTAGCCAAGCAAGAGGCAGCGCAAGGGACCGCGCAAGGGACCGCGCAAGTGACATCTTAAAAAGGCTACTCTGAAGGCCACCCCCAAACCTACGCAGAAGACGCACTGATATAGCAAGATGAACGAGCTCCTGATAAGGTCCAAGAGCGGCATCAAGCTCTACACCTTCGAGCGAAACGAGAACAATGAGTATACAGGAAAAATCACCTTCGAGTACGACGGGTGTATACACGACGCCCTCTGGTCGTGCGATGGGAACTCCTTCCTCATACTGCACTCCGTGGAGGGATTACTTCTGATATCAAACTATGCCGACAGAGACAACATAAGAGTGAATAAAATTACCTGCCCAAACAGGTACAAGGAACTCTTCACCGACGACAATATAAAGTTAATAAAACATGTGCAGTGGTCACCAGGCAATAAATTTGTCGTTTTCTTTTTCCCCTTTGAGGAGAAAAACTTTGTTTCCATAGGAAACCTACTTCTATTTAGTGTGCAGCATACCAGAGTCCTGTGCTCGTTTAAGATTCGGAAAAAGATTTGCAGCAACTGGCCCATTATCCACTTCACCACTGAGGACAGATACTTTTTTCTCGAGAAGAAATCCAACCTTTATGTTTATGATACCCTCCAGTTGATCCAAACGAACCCAGAGGTGTTGCACAATCTGGTAAATATAGACATCCCAAAAAATTATCTTTTCACGTGGCATCATCCGAATGTCATAGCTATGTATGTGTCCCCCTATGTTGGAGAAGACAACGCAAGGTTCTTCATTGTTCACACGAAGAATAACTTCTTGGGAGATGTTTATGTGTATAAGATGCAGGGATTGTCCTCTTCACTGAGTGATGTGGATGGCATCCATTTTGGGAAAGAGAAGACTTCTCCCACAATGGGGGGTCATCATAACGGCGCTGGGATATCACTCGGTTCAGCCGTCGGTGTTACCACCCCGAAACGAAAGGAATGGGAAAGCGGTAATCCGGAAAGGAACGTCTCTCTGGATCTTCTCATCAGAAAAAGTTTCGATAATCTGGACAATCTCTACTGCATGTGGTCACTCAGCGGGAAGCATGTTATCCTGATGGTGTATACCAACGACACGACGAACAAGTCCTATGGCTATGTAAGCAACTGCTACTACTTCTCCCTGAGCGCCATACATATGGGCATGAGAAAGATCAACGAAGACGTGGCACAGGATGTCAAATGGAACCAAACGAGTGATGACTTCCTCCTAATCGAAGGCAAATCAGATAATGCCATTTTTTTGTATGACCACAATTTGAACGTTAAAATGAAAATCTCGTCGCAGTACAAAAACACAATTAAGTGGTGCCCCTTTGGGAATATGATTGCTCTTGGAGGGTTCGGAAACTTAGCAGGGGACATCAATTTTTACTTTAAAGAGAAAGACGACACGGTGATCCTAATAAAACAATACAGAGAGCCATGCACTGTGTTGTGTGATTGGTCTGCAGATGGTACTCTCTTCATGACGGCCTCCACCTACCCCAGGATGAAGGTGGAGAATACCTTTAAGATTTACACATACGAGGGAAAGCTTGTCAACAGTTACAATTTTAACGAGCTTTATGACGTCCAATGGAAGAAGGCCCCCCCTGGGATGCTCTCCGAGCCGCCCAAGCCGCAGGCCAACCTGAAGGATAACAAGCGCAGCGTCTACAAGATTAAGTATATGAATGTGGATGGCTCGGTGGGGAGCGGCATGGGGAATGGTGTGCTGAACGGACTAGTTAGCTCTCCCGGAGGCGCTCCAACCAGTATTAACACCCTCAGCAGCGGGAACGCCTCTGACGCGCTGGACGAAGCCACGTTTCAGAAAACCAACGGGGGGGGCGAACCAGGCGAGAAGGACAGGGGTAAAATTGGCAAGGCCGTGGTGGCTCCTCCTGTTCCTGCCCCTAGCGGTTCGCAAGCGGCGAACGCGGCAGTCGCAGCGCTCGGAAGGAAGAAGAAGGCAGAGAAGGGAGGTAATGCTTACGACTGGGATGTAGACTGGAGAAATAAAAACGTCTCCGGCACGGCAGGAGCGGCAGGGGCAGCAGGAGTAAGTTTGGTGGTCCCCCCCACGGGCGCTGCGGGGGTTACTGGTGTCAACAGCCTCAATAAAATTGGCAGTATGGGGAGCCTCGGCAACGTTAGCCTAGCGAAGCCCCCCGAGGAGAAGCACGACCAGGGAGTCTCCCCCCACATGGAAAAGAAGTCTGTAGATGTGTGCGCCCTGAATGGTAGCGATGGTGACATTCTCAGGAAAGAAAACCTCGTTGTTGGCATGGTAGAAGGACACCAGGAGGACTACTCTGCACGGGGCATTCCCTCCGCAGATAGCACCAGTGGCGCAGACGCTCGAGCAGCAGATGATAAAAAGAAACAGAAGAAGAAGAAAAAGGAAAAAGAAGAGGAGAAGGAGAAGGAAAAGGAAAACGACATGAAGTTCCAGGGCGATGCAGACAAAGGTAGCGGCACCCCAAAACAGGTCACGGCCAACAGTTGGGGCAATCACCACCCAAGTCAGGACGTCCAGGATACGACGAGCCTACACTACTACATGAGCAGAAATAACATTGAGGTGGGTATTCCTCCGGGGGGATTTCCCTCCAATGTATTCCCTGCAAATGTATTCCCCCCAAATGGATTGCTCCCAAACAGTTTCGCGCTTAAGGGTGGCCCCCCTGGAGACTGGAACGAGCCGAAAACGCACACCAAGAAAGGGGGATCAATGGATGTCGCGCAGTTCCAAATGGAGAAAGATGACGGAGAGAAGAAACAGGCGGGGGAGATTATCCCGAAGGATGAGAAGGACCCAGACCAGGATAAGAAAAAAAAGAAGGAAAAGATAAATAAAAAAAATAAAAGCGAGGCCTCCGACGGAGGCAATGAGAATGGCGTCGTTGGCGACTTCCCGTCGGCTGGGGAGGACAAGGTGGCCAGGCAGACAGTGGGGACTGCGGCGGCGACTGCCACGGCAACTTCTATGACGACCACGCAGGCGATGGCGCCCTCCCCCGAAGCCGCCAGAACGAAAACCCGAAGCGGCAACACCATCACGAGCTTCCTGGCCAGAATAATGCAGCCCAAGGCTCACGTGCCAGAGAAGCTCACTCCCCCCAACGATCGCGGCATGAACGATCACGACACGAAGGAGCGTTATGCGAACGAAGTCTACACGAATGAGCGCAATGAAACCGCCGTGTGTGTTGCACCAATGGCCGCAGCGGGGACGAGCCCATACAATTTTGTTGACACACATGACGCGTCACGTAACAGTAATGCTCACCCCATGGTAGGTCCAGACAAGGAAGGAAGTGATACCCATCCTCAGAGGAACAACAACACGCTTCATAGTGACATGTATGGCCTCCCGAAAAGTGGCGCCAATAAAAATAGCGCAGCGTCTTCTTCATTGTATCAACCACATTTTAACCCCCTACCAAACGGAGTACCCATGCAGAGTAGTAACTCCTCCCTCTTTAATCAGCTGTCGGGACTGAAGCAGAGCATTCAGGAAAGCACTCACCATCCCGAAGGAGTAGACGGATCATCACCAAATGGGAACATCCTAAATGCAGGAATGTATCCGACCTCATTACAACCGCAGAGTTACAATGATGTCACTAAAGGCAGTGCGAACCAAGACAGCCATCTTTACGTGTCAAGCCATGAAGGAAAAGCGTCTTACTCCTCTGCATACCCCGAGCGGGAAAGCAGCGAAGGAGCTATTAACGATGCGTCGTCCAAGCAAGTGAGTCCCAGTATTGATGCGAATGAACAAACTAGGGATACTCTTCGTGCTCCCCCCGAGACTAAAAAATCAAATGAAGATTTGCTGAGATTATTCAAGAGGGTGTTACCTCACGCAACCGTTAACATTGTCCCAAAGAATGAACACATCGGTAGTAGTGGTAGTAATGACACCATGTTTAATGCCTCAATTGGGCATACTGTTACCACTGCACAGAATGCTGACTTCTCCGTGTCAGTTCCACGAAGCAACCACATGGAGGGAATTCAAAATGATTACAAACAACAGATGGGCTTCAAAAGGGAACACATCGACATGCGAATGACCCCATCGAATGAGCACATCCGAAGGGACGAAGGGAATAATGGCAACTATGCAAATATCAACAGCAACAGTAGTAGTGTCTACGCCCAGCGTGGAAAAGAAATTCAAAACAAAGATTTGCTAACAGCGATGATCATGAGGATGAAGCAGAAGGAAGAGCAACGAAATGATAGCAGCAATCCCGTCGGAGCAAGTGCCCCCAGTACCAACAGGATGATGATACCCCTTGGGAGGGAAGACTCCATTCCAGCTAATATAAAGTCACACCTTTCGAACTTGGATCTCTGTGAATTGCTAAAGTGTTACCACTCTCTTAATGTACAGCTGATCCAGTTAAAATTATACTGGATCGTCCACAAAATCCAGGTGTATGACTCTATTGCAACTGGAGGAGGCAACGCCACGGAACTGATGGAGAAGGATAAAAAGATAATCGCCAAAGTGAAAGAAATGAAGATCCTCCTAGATTATGCCAACGATTTGGTCAAAGAGACATTTCAGAAAAACAGAAAAAAATACGAAAGTGTGATACAGCAGTTTACCGTTATTCTCAAGCAGCATGACAACCTGTACGAACAGAAGAAGGAGAAGATCATGCAGGATCACTCAGACAAGCAGGCCATTGTGCACTTCATCTGTAACATCGAAAAAATTGTGCACAGATATGTCACAGCGAATGGGGAGGAGCCCGTGTCTTCTTCTCCCTCTCTCAGGGGTTCCTATCAGCACCTCAGCATGGTCGTTGGCAGGGGGGAAGTCCATCCGTCCACTACGCCCCTCACTAACGCACGGGAATACATTAGTGGTTTTAGCAGCGATTACGCGGGAGGCTACCCCGAGGGTTACTCGAAAAACATGAGGGACATCGCACCCCCCATGGAACTGCAACGAAAGTTGCTCATGCAAAAGTTGAGAGAACAAGGCGGACGCAACAATGGGCACTACGATGAACAGAATCTGAACCAGAACAAAATGAGTCTTTCGGAGTACCAGAGAAATTATGCTCTAAATGCAGTTGCAAGGGATAAGGATGAGCAGGCGAAATTTTTCCTGAAGCGAAGTGGAGGGAACAATGACTCCGGAGCAGCTGCTTCACTTGAGATGACCTATGCCGAAGAGCAGGAGGACAAGAAGAATAGCCCAGTGGGAAGGGGACGCGGGTATGAGGCCATCAGCAGCGGGGGAAGCATGTACTGTAGAGACGCCCAAAGTGTGGAAGTGTTCCCCCGCGATGGGCGCGCCATCGGTGGCCACAACGATCACAATAATCAGAACAGTCAGGATGATCACAACAGCGACGGCACGTGCCCGTCCCCCCTCCTAAGCAGGATCAACAAGTCACTGATGAGCAAGCAGGGGAAGGAGGACGGCGCGCAAGACCGCGATAGCGCCAAGGACATGTCAGGCAGGTATAGCCTGCTCGAACTTTTGAGACGGAAAAAGCAAATCGAGCTGCAGAGTGGTGTACAAAGCGGAATGCAGAGCGGAATGCAGAGTGGCCTACTCAGCAGCCTTCGCGCCGCTGCCCAAGGTAGGGACGACCACATGGACGCCAACTCCCTGCTGCGTGAAGCCAACCAAGGTGCGCAGGGGGGTAAGTACGCCGTGCAAGAGCAGGACATAACTCACAGGATAAAGAGCATGATGCACGTCAGTCCCAAGGAGGAGCATCACTCGCACCAAGGGCAGCACCAGCAGATTCCCACCCCCTCGCCAGACCACCTAAATTACTATTACCAAAATGCCCAAGCGGGCCAAACCAATTTCCACAGCCAGGCGAAACACGAATGGAAGTCGGTAAACCATTTCGATCGGGTAAAAGCAGAACTCGACATGATAATCAGCCCCATGACCGAGACAATGAAGCAGGACACACATGCAAATAAGCAACATCAACAGTACCCTCCCCAAAAGAACTATATTCACTTTAGCGATTACAACTCTTTTGTGAACAGCGCCAAAATGAACCCTAGAGGGGTTATGGTCAATTCGAAAGAAGATATCTGCACCCCGAAAGGGAACGACCAGACGAAGGAAGTCGGCAGAGGTGGTGACTGTGCTGACGGGGCGAATGGCTACTTGAGGATGCTGAGCGGAGCACATGGCATACTAAATGAGGCGAATAAGGGTGAAAATGGAAGTGGTCACTCCAAGCCAATGAATCTTATACGAGGAAGTGGAGCCGCAGTTGGAGCAGTGGGCGGCGCCTTGAATGAGCAGAGGCCAATGGGAAGTGGAGAAATGAACCTGAACTATATGGCCAACGGGGGAAACCAGAGCAAAGACCACCACCCGATGACGCACCCCAACGTATCGCATCCGCCACATGTTCTCCCTCCCTCGCAACCAGCGCAAATTGTGTGCAAAATTCCCAGCATATACAAAACGAGCAGCACCAGTAAAAGTGTGACGAGTTCAGGTGAAAAGAACAACTCAACGTACAACCTTTTCGAGATGGAAGAAGGCAAACGTCCAGATGCCTTGAGAGATAAGTGCTGGCAGTATGTGGACCCCAAGGGGGTAGTGCAGGTACTGAGAGGATATACCCCACCCGTGGGTGTGTTAGCTCGAGTTGAGCGGCATCCACCGCAGGATCACATGTTGTGCGATGCTTAAGGTCGATCCTGCACGTAGTTATAGCTCACCTATGAAGACGTCTGTGTCTTCTTCAACCCATTCTCAATGGTCTCCGTTCTACACACTCACTTCCTGCAGGGACCCTTCTTCCTTGACGAGATGAGGATTTGGAGCGAAATGGGGTACTTCGAGCCCATGTTGCCCGTCCGCTGCTGCCACTCTGATCGCTTTGTTGCCCTGAACAAACTGTTCCCCCCTCCACATAAACCCTTCACCATTATTCCGAAGCCACAGCCCATAATGCAGTGGGACGAGGAGTTATAACTTGGCAGCAACGAGAGGGGGGCAGCATTTTCCTCTGGGCACGCACTGTTCGAATGGGCCAAGCCGCACCAACTTGTGGGGCAAGAATTGCATTTTCTTTTTCTTTTTTTTTTTTTCTTTTTCTTCTTCCTCATCATGACGCCTACTTTTGGAAGTCACGTGACGATTTTCAGGTTTCCCATTTTGTAATGGAAATATTACTTCGTCATATTTTTGCATTTTTTTTTCTTTCTCCCGCTACGAAATATTCTGCCCCGAATTGAAAGTACCCCCGGAGATCAACAGGGGTGCCTGTGTGCTACTAACTACTGTATCGTTGTTAACTTTGGCTGTTTGTGCCTTTCGTGTTAGATCCATTTTGCGGGAAGAATTCGTTTTCCTATGGCTGCTATTCAACCTGTTCAGTCGCTTTGGTCCGACTTTCCCGGTGACCCTAGGAGTGTGCATACGTATAGGCGAGGGCGGTATATGCGATTCGACATGAACGCGGTGATTCCATGGGGTCATGGAAGTTGTGATTCGATGGGGTGAAGACGGTCGTGGTCAATCTTCAACGAACAGATAATACAACCGTGTCGCAGGGGAATCATATATCCCCGCACTTTTACCTTACACTGTGTAGCGGCTACCTCCGCGTACTTTCTATCCCCCACCACACCGAAGTGTACCTCTTTCCCATTCCTTGTGCAGAATACCACTGCCGATTCGATCAACATTTCGGTATCAAAACTTGAACTCGCCTATCGGGCAGTGAAAACAGTTTTTTTCTGCCTGGTCAGTCTCCTTAAAAAGGGACTCATCTCCAAGCAAAGCAACATACAAATGGCGATCGTGCCAAACAAACGTAACAAACAAAGGGGTTATGCCGCAAACAGGTGAACACAAATGAAAATCGCGGCCTCTCCTTTCATCGCCCATTAAACAGCCTCACGATAGAGAAGGCGATTCGGTCGATGTCGTCCCCATTGGCAGCCACGTTGGTGCCTATGTGTCCCAAGTAATTGCTGCAGAAGCGGTTGTCCTGACATATAAGCTGAGCGAACTTAAAGAACTCAATGTTATACTTGAGATTATAATTGAACACCTTTCTCGTTTCCTCCTTCCTCTTCTTCTTCCTCACGTCCTGAAGGTAGGCCTTCATTAAACTCCTCTTCTCGGATGTGCTAATTGGTTCCTCTGAATTCGGGTACACGTCGTCACTCTTGATGCGGTTCAAGTTGCAGTAGTAGGACTCGTTAAAACGTTGAACCTCCATGTTGTCATCGTCGTTGCCGCCATCGTCCTTGTCATCATCGTCCTTGTCATCATCGTCCCTGTTGTTATTGTCATCGTGTCTTGGGCCTTCTGTGCCCACTTGTTTCACTGTGATTGGTGCCTTCCTAGTGAGTGCGCTCCTCAGGGAGTACCTTCTGTGAGTGTGCCTCGACGAAGGAATCCTCTCCAGGGTTGATGTGCTTCGAAGGGAACACGCCCCTATTTTGGGACTGCCGACAGGGGCAGCAATTTCACGAGGGGCGTCTTTCTCCACGCGACTCCTTGGGGGAAGTCTACTGGGAGGATCATTATTGAGCGGAATTCTATTTAGAATATCTCCATTCATGCTAGCTCCATTCAGAGTACCCCTAGTGAACGTTCCCCTGCTGCGACTGGGTCCCCCCACATTTGCTCCCCCCATCTGTCCAAACAATTTGTCGCGCACCCATCCTTCACCATTCCCACTGTCTGTCTGTTTCGCCTCTCTATGTGTTGGTATCCCTCCCTGCCCCTGTCCTCTAAATAGTTTTCTCTCTCCATCTGGTATGTTATGTGCATTAGGTTCACCCTGGGCGAGGCCCATTGGTGGTGTCACTTTCCCTGGCTGTGGTTGTCCTCCCATGTTTCCCTTTTCCCCTCTCATGGCCTCGATCTTCATTCTTAGGACTTTCTTCAGAATGGCGCCGTTCGACGGGGCGCGCCTTCTATTTATCCCTCCTTCTGTGCCAAATCCTTGGTGCCTTTCTGCGGGCCCCTCTTCGAGAAGCCCCCCCAATTGAAGAACTTTTCCTGAGCTCCCTTCCACGGGAAAATTGAACGTGTCCCCCTCGCTGATGTTCCAGAAGCGTGTTTTGGGTTTCCTCCCTCGCGTGCTTTCATTGACTATGCCACTTTCTATGCTGACCCCCTCTCGTTCGGCAGACGCAGAAACCCTTTCTTTATACACCCACGTGTTGTATGGCTCGCTGAAGTGGTCCACATCACGAGGGGCTACCACTGGAGGGGTAGGCTCCTTCCTGGCACAGCTCCCTTCATGTAGGGCAACCCTCAGTGGGCTGTTTCTCCACTGACTTTTGCTCCCTGTGTTGTCCAATCCATCGTTTCTCTTCACTGCACAGGTGGGAATGTTTCTTTGCACGCCTCCCTGGTGGATACTTGTCTGTAATGAGAAGCCCTCCCCATCCCAAATAGCTTCCTCCCTTTTATGACTTTCTTCCCCTTTCCACTTGCCTCCATATGTGAGATCACTCGAATCGTTGACGAACGGGGGCTCATGTTGCTGACCTTTCTTCTCCTGTTCCTTCTCGTCTTCCTCCCCTGAGGGGTATCTCCAATTAGTACCATTCCCAGGTCCCTTATCTTCACTCGGATGGACATCCACTCCCATGTGTCTAATCTCTATGTACCTTTCGGGAGTCTCCATTTTTTGTGGCTCCCCTTCCTGATCAGCCATATAGGATAATTTTCCTGAATCTCCATGGATTGTCTGTCTGGAGCGGAGTATACCCCTCTCACTATTTGTGCTTCTCTTATGAGTATGTATGTCTCGTTGGATCATCTCTCCATGGCTATATCCCCCTTGGGCCAGATGACTCACTTCACATCTGTTACGACGATACAACAAATCGGCTTCGTTCAAACAGTCTATCGATGTGCATTCCTTCTGTCTGTATGTGTCCTCTTTATGCAACCTCCCCACGTGGTAGTCCTTTTTTTTTCTTTTTAAAATGAATTCCTCCTCACTGTTACGGATGGGGAATGAGCATATGTAGCATTTGGCTTGTTCGTCACAGGAGTGGTGAGCACTTCGAGTTAACTGAAGGTGGGTTGCATGGGTGTTCGTTCTGTTCCCGCTCAGGGGTGCTCTTTCACGGGGACCATCACCGGGGCGGCTATACTGACCGTTAAGCTCAACGAAGCAATGGCCGACACTCTCACCGCTAAGCGAAGGGCTAAACTTGCTGCTGCATCTGTTCCACTGAACCGGTGGCGGTGGTTGCACGCCTCCGCCTTTGTAAGGCCCTTCTTTCTCACTAGGCCAACACCAAATAGGGAATCGATTCACCCCCTCCTTCTCAACAGAACGCTTATTGCACATGTTCATCTCACACTGCATTACACTTCTCATTTCACATTTGGCTCCCTCCTGCTCACAGGTGGCACTTTGTTCCGGACCGAGGGGTCTGTTTTCACTTGCGTAATGAGGTTCCCTACCCCTGTCGCGGGTGTTCCACTTGGCATATCTCTCCCCTGTGCGACTCCATTCGTCATTCGATTGTCTTCCCATGTGGGTGCTCAGACCTCTCCTAACCTCACCCCTCAAACATTTGAATGCGTTCCTTCTGGAGGGAGATAAAAAATTCCCCTGGTAGGAAAGTGAACTCGATGGACACGAACTAAGTTCATACTTTGTCTTTCCGGGGTAATCTCTTCTCTTCTCTTGCCGTCTTTCCCTTTGATCCGGGATCCTGTTCACATGGCTGCCTCTTCCCTGCGTTACTCTCTCTACTTGCGTGCTGCCCTTCCTCGTTGGTTTCCTCCTATAATCGCGCCCGTAGGTGGAGCTTGCGTACTGTTTGTGCGGGTTGCAATTGCCCTCATACTCTGCCGAGTAACACTCCGCTGGTTGACACTCGTTCAACTGCCCCTTCCCCACCTCACACATCGCAGTGGAGTGGCTGGCAAGGGAAAAGGCACTGCCCAAAAAATTGGCAGCATCACTCACCAAGTGCACCTCCCCCTCCTTCCTTTCCCTGCGACTATCTTTACTCCTCCTCGACTTCTTCGTGTAGTAATTGCAGACGAAAATATTTTTCTGTGTCGTGAAGAGCTCGATGCTCTCCCCTGTTGAAGAAACTTCTTGGTTGGTGCTGGCAGCGGAAGCCACAGAGGAGTCCACCTGTACGACCCCCCAATGGTTAATCCCCTTCGCAGATGAGACGTTACCATCTGTGAATGTCGAGATGTCCCTAAGTGATAGGTTCCTCTCCTCATTTGACGCATCGGAAGTGCACATGGTCCTCTTGTCGGTGCCAAACAATCTGTTTTCTCCATCTTCGAATTTTTCTATTTTTTTTTTTATTTTTTTCTTTATTTGCATTAGTTTGACAAAAGTTCTCTTGTAGCTTTCGCTTCCGATGTCTGTTCCCAGGAATTCGCTCGATCCGACTACTCTCCCGTCTGCTATCATGCTTGCATTTTTTCCCCCCCTCCGGATGCTTGCTCCTATCATTTGTGTTTCCTTCCGTGTGTCTCTTCTTTGACTGACTCCATTAGCAACCCCCTCACCGTTGAAATTGCTCTGCCCACCTCTAACATGGCATAGATGGCTGTATAGTCCTTCTTCTTCCCCTTTCGCATCGTTTTCACATCCTACCTCATCGACGTCAGGGGACGCGACACCCAGTTGCTTCTTCTCAGCAGCCACCTGTCCAATGAAACCCTTCTGTACCTCCTTGCTTTCTCCTACCCCTGGAATCATCATGACACCCCTGCCCTCTTCTGCGAACTCCCCCCTAGGAACCTTCCCCCCATCCCCATGAATAACATACAGGTTTTTAATCTTGCAATTGATAAAATGTCTGAACAGGTCATTTAGGTTATCTCTGATCTCTTTGGAGACTCCATCGAAGTTTCCGTCCTCCAATGCGCGCTCCTCCAAGACATGTCCCTCCTGATGATGTTCCTCCATCGTGTCATCCTCCACTGCATGGTTAGGTTCACTCTGATGGGGAATCACCCCCTTTGCTACTCCATCCCTGTTTGTTTTCCCGTCACGGAAGGAAGTGCCCCTACCCTCTCGTATTACACTCCTTGATGAGTTCGCTTTACAGTGCAGTTTGTCCTTCAAAGGACCACTAACCACTGTGTTTCTTTCCTTTTTCCCTTTCACCTGAGGAACCTTTGCATTCCCTAACCTTTCGATCAATCTGCTTTTCAAATTATTCCGATCATATATGTTGGGATGTTTCTCTCTTCCCGTTGCTGCTGTCTTTACTCTTCCTGAGTCTGCCGTCTCATTCTTTGCCTTTTCTATTTTGTTTGGTTCTTCCCCTGTGTAGTTGGTACTCTTTGTCCCCTTCTCTTCCATAGACCACTTCGCCTTTTTATGACGCGTCTTTAATAACCTATTTTTGTGTTTCTGTAGCGACTCCTCCAACCGTTGCTTTAGTCTCTCCATATTGCTCATTATGTTGCCAGTAGGGAGAAGAAGCTTTTTTTGGAGGAGGAAGCCCCTCTTGCGGGGAAGAAGCCCCTTTTGAGGGGAATCTCCTCTCAGCGTGCCACCCTTAGCGAGCTCACAAAATTACTTCTCCCTGAAAAGGATGCACCCTTAATGCCTACCTATACAACGGCGTTGTGAAGCAACTAATCGGGGTGGACAAAAAAAACAAAATGGATGGGACAGTCGTACCGTAAATGTGTCAAGTGGTAGACTGCTCCGTTTGCGCGAGGGGAAGTAGAACAACCCGGCGCAGCATGCACGCGTGTGTGTTATTTCCTCACTCGCTGCGACGGATGCAGCGTACGCGGCGGGAATTGACAAGTGAGACCCAGACAATGCGAAGAAACAAATGCAACGCGACAAATGAGACGCGGACAGTGCGAAGAAACAAATGCAATGCGACGGGCTAATGAGAACAAATACAATTAAGAAGAAGCAAAAAAAAGAAAAAGAAAATGGCTTCACATTTGCTGCCAGGGCATCGTGTTTGTTTCGTTTTACCGTTTCTGTGCAATCGCTGCAGTGGAGTCACAGCAGTGCAGTCATCTTATGGCAGCGTGCATGTTAGCGTTGGTGCTAACGTTGACTTCTACTTTGACTTCGGTTTTTTTTTCCCCCCCCGCAGTTTACACCTAGAGGGGCGTTATAGTGGACAACCCCGCGCGGACAGCAACTGGGGTTTCACATCGGAACAAGTGCAA